AACCTTTCCTTCTCCACCCATTTCTAATTAGACATTCTTTGCAGGTGAATGGCGTGGGCGTGGAAAGAAGGCTCGGAAGTGATACGGATTCGGAAGCGGCACGGGTATGTGTTTGTTGTAGAATGTCTACATCCCTAAATTTTAACACTTTTGGAATATATGGTTTGCCAGTTGTGGAGGTGACCATAATATCATTGGTTCTTATGGGTGTAGACACTAAGAATGCTCGACTTGTGGGCAAGATGCGCAACCTCTCGTGGCAATACTATTAGGAAGCCGATCAACTCTTCGGTGTAAGCTTCTCAATTCTCAACTTCATTCGGTGTTCTCGTTTGGGTGTATGGGTTAGTATTTTGTTTTGGTTATATGCGTAGTTTTAGATTGCTCGAGGCATTGCTACTTTTGGCGATCGGCTTTCCGGCTCCTACGCCTTACCATTGTTCCTGGTTTTCGATATCAATGAAAGTAAAGGAAACATCCCGTGCTTAATTCAGTTCTATTTTTTTTTTTCGTGGGATAAAAGACTGGATGTTGTTGTGGGTGTGTGGGTTACTAACTGCTCAATTGCCGTTGTTGTACCTGTAACTTCTCTTCGTTTGTTAATAACCCTCATGATTGACACCTTCATGCATTGTAGCAGTGATCAGCCAAAGCCTCGCATACGCTAGAGTACAAAATGAGAAACTTTAACCCATTTCTTCTTTATTCTCGCTTAGACTTTTTTCTTCTCCACTTGTTTCCGACTAGAAATTCTTGACAGGTGAATGGCGTGGGCACAGAAAGGAGACTCGGAAGTGATACGGATTCGGAAGCGGCACAGGTATGTGATAGTTGTCGAATGTGTGCATCCCTAAATTTTAAAATTTTTAGAAGAAATGGTTTGTCGGTAGTGGAGGTGACAATGATATCCTTGGTTCTTATGGGTGTAGGCACAAAGAATGCTCGACTTGCGGGTTGTATCTATTGGAACTTTTTCTAAGGGCTTCTCTTGCCTTATTGCCGTTTTTGGGGTTGTAACTTCTTTTAATTTTTAATACTCCCCTTGGCTTCTACAAGCATTGCCACTTCCAAGAGATTGCATCATTGAAGCTCATTCAAGCGTTCGAATTGGAGCAGTAGTCTGTCAAGGCGTTGCATACGCTGGAGTACAGAATAAGCCACTCTAACCCATTTCTTCTATATTCACTTCTAAACTATTTCTCGTCCACCTGTTCCTAATTAGATATTCTTGATAGGTGAAGGGCGTGAGCACAAAGGAGACTCGGAAGCGATACGGATGCGGAAGTTGTACATGTATGCGTTTTTTGTACATTGTTAGCATACCTAAATTAAATCATTTTTGGAAGACAAGGTCCGTCGGTCGTGGCAGTGGCTATAATATACTTGAGTCTTATTGGTGCAGGCACGAAGAATGCCCGACTTGCGGGCAGGATGCACAACCTCTCGTGGAAAAACTGTAAGGAAGCCGATCAACTCTTCGGTGTAAGCCCGTGTTTAATGTAAGTAAGGAAGCCGATCAACTCTATTGCCATTGTTTTGCTTGTAATATTTCTAAACTTATTAATAATCCTCATCACCATCACCTTCATGCATTGCCACTTCCAGGAGCTTGCATCCGCGGAGCTGATTCAAGCATTCGAATTGTAGCAGTGAACAGCCATGGCCTCGCATACGCTGGAGTCTAGAATGAGCCACTCTAATCCATTTCTTCTGTGTACACTCTTAAACCTTTCCTTCTCCACCCATTTCTAATTAGACATTCTTTGCAGGTGAATGGCGTGGGCGTGGAAAGAAGGCTCGGAAGTGATACGGATTCGGAA